GAACGCACGCAGGCATTGCGCCAGGCGGCGCGCGAACAAGGTGAAACATTGCCATGTGCACTGGGCCCCGCATCTTCACCTGGCCCCCGCAAAATCGCCGCTCTGCCGCCTCGGCAACATGATGCTGACAAGGCCAACCGGGCACCAACCGCGGACCAGCGCGCATGGCCACGCTGCTCAAAAAATGTCTCAGGCGCCCTCGCTCGCGTGGCCCAGATGGGCATCCAGGGGCAAATCCGGCCCGGTCGAAAACTGGGCGTCGCACGAGGCTATCGTCTGGGCGTCTTGAGTCTTGCGAGTTGCCACGTGAGAACCGTTTGCCGTTGCACGTGACAACCGCTTTGTGGGCTGTCTGGCCGCGACGAGAACTGCGGCGTTGGAGACTCGGCCGACGCGCGCCGGCCGCGCGCGGGGCAGGTTCTCCGCTGGTGACGGGCGTGGAATCAGTCGCATCGCCTGAGTTCGCCCGCGTTCAAACAACTCGCAAAAAAAGCGACGCTTCGACGTTCGCGCAATGCTCGCGCTGGGAGTTACCAGCCAGCGCGCTAGATGTGGAGCGCGCCCGGATAGTGCGCGAGAGTTTGAAGAATTGCCCTGCTTGCCCAATCCCGCCGCGCCGCTCAGGCACGTCTCCGCTGCCCGCGCAAGGGCGGGCGCCCGATGTGCGACGGGGCTGCTGCGCGCGAGCAGAGCGCCAAAGGGCATTCTGCCTTAAAGCGTCGGATTTGATCCTCGAGTAATTCCACGCTTGCGCATTGCATTGCAGACCGCAATGCATCCTGGAGGCCTCGATGGCAAGGGCGAGCCCCCGCGAAATCCCCACCGCCGCTCGCGCAAGTTCGCCTGCTACGCGCCGCGCAGATCCGCGCGGAAGGTGACCATCGCAACCGCGAAGAAGAAACGGGAAAGGGCCCCAGCGACGCTCGCCGCAGGCTCGAGCGCGCGCGGCAGGCGCCTCTTCAAAATCGCCCGCGACAATGGCGCTGCCCGACAGGCGGGCGCCGCAACGCAGGTGCCGCGGGAAGGACATGCAACCCATATCAGAGAGGCAGCTACCGCCAGCGGCGAGACCCAATCAAAAAACTTCGGCCCAATCTCACGCGAGGAACAGAGCCATCGCATCATCGCTCGCTCTGCTGGGAAGATGACGTACGCCGCCCTCCTGCCAGGACGGAATTTACTCGCGTCTTCAAATGGCGCCGACGACAACTGTTTGTGGCGGCGCAGCAATATCTGCACAAGTACTCTGTAGCAAATACAAACAATGACAGACGGTAGACTGACGGGCCTGAAGTTGTCGCGCGGCGCCCAGTCGTCTTTCCTGTGGACCATGCGAACGTTGGCTTTTTCTCACGGCGCATGGCATGCACGTCTGCGCTCATCTCGTTGCAGGAAGCGGCGGTCCACGGCGGCGCTGTCTCGCCATCGCTGGCAGCTGCCCTTCAGAATTCCGGGGGCAGGGGAACCTTGCCCCTCCCAGTGACTCCCTCACCGCGAAGCCACTTTGGCACTTTTCAAACTTATGCTCCTGTGTCCGGCCCGAGTTGCACCCGCAGCACATCGTTCGTTGGTCTCTCGTCGGGCAGCGCTGACGCGTTGCTGTGCGTTGCTATGATGCGCCGATTACAGATGCTCGGCAAATGTCTCCGCCCTACCGCTGCTGCCCACCGAGAAGCTGGCGGGGGCCCGGACATGCCGCTGTCGCGGGCAATCCCCCTTCACCAGCGTCGGCGCCGCTCCCCAATTGCCGTCCGCAGCGGGCATCTCGAGCCAGCTCGCGCAGCCAGGCCCCGCAGCTCTTCGAACGCATGTGCCGCGTGGATGCCCAGCGACGCCACGCGCTGACAGTCGCGCCGCTTCTCTCCGGACGATCGGTCGCAGGGCTTGTCCGTCGCCGGTGGCCTCCTCGCCGCAATCGGCGCTTCAGCCGAAGACTTGGGCGCCGCGCGCCCGGCGGCGGCAAAAAGCCCGCGCCGCGCGAGGCCCGCGCCATCCAACCACTGTCTCGCTCGTCGATATCTTGCGAGGCGCGCGAAAAATGCTGCCTGGACTGCCCGCGCGCCCCCTCGCCCAGCTGTTTCGCGTAGAGCTTGGGCGGCCTCCGCTCCTCCGGCTGCGCGCCAACGGCCGCGCCCGCCCCTGCCGCGAGCAAGTGGCGCGAAGCAAGCGACGCGTCGCGGCCCGCGCGCGCGTCGCTGATTTTCAAGTGCCAGTCCTGGTCGCAGACTACGGAATCGATTTGCGAATGCGTTGGCGCGGTCGCCGCGCGCCCGAGAAGGCCCTAGACGTTGCGCCGCGCCACTGGGCCCCCCTGCGATCTCTCGAACGGAGGTCGACATGCAAATGCGCAGCTGCGCGCGTTGCCCTGATGACGAGGGCCCGTTTGCGCCCAGGTGCACGCTGGCATTTAGCTGCTGGAACATGCGCGGGCCTGTAATGGTCTCCTCTCTCTTCTTCCCCCGATCGTTCGCGCAGTCTCGCGTGAAAGCCGCCGAATATGATATTCGGGACATGCGGCGGTCGGCCTTCGACGACACGTGCCAAGTCGCGGTCGACATCTCGGCGGCCCTGACAACCCTTGCCGCCGCGTAAGAGCACGCGCCACGAAGAAGACGGCATTGCCTTCAGGCGCCTGATTTCCAGCGGAGCCATCCGTAAGGACGCCGGACAAAAACCCGCAAGGCATCTTCTGGCAGCGGGTGCCACGAGAAATCCCACCCTGACCTTGTCCGTAGAGCGGCCCCGGCCGCCTGAGTCGTTTCTACCAAACGGTCAACTTCGGAATCCACGCTTCCTGACCGTCGAGGTCGTGCTGCCCATATTTTCGTGATGCGCCCCCGCTCTATAAGCCTGGACTCCGCGTGCCCTTCCATGTCTCACCTTGCATTGGTGAGTTCGCCTGGCGCTGGGCGCAAGAAAGCCACATAGCACAGCAGACAGCAGTAGACTGGCGAAGTCGACCTCTGTCTGTCCGCAAAATTACCTCGGCAAAGCACCCTAATCAATGGCGGGTCCCTAAGGACTCCAAGACCTCGACGACTCGGAACATGGGTGAGAGCGCGGCCATGTGGTCCTTCGTGACCTGAAGCATGGAATCGCGGCCGCTTGGGCAAAACATGCAAACGGCACGGCGGCGAGAGCCCGATGTCAAAAGAGTCTCAAGAAACACGGCCACCGGACCGGGTGATCCAGGTCTCCCAACCCCCCTTTGTGACTCTTCTGCTGTCCTTAACGATCTACCTTTTTGTCATCGACAACCTCTAATGAAACGCTATCAGGGAATAGCCCTGGCTGCCATGGGGTCTCTTCAGAAAGGGCCACAGATCTCCGCTGGGGGGACAGCGAGCGACCAAAACCACATCAAAGACACCCTTGGGGATGTCTTGCGCATGCCAAGACCCGCGGGGACACCGAAACCAGCTTGGTACTGGTTGTGGTCGATGTGGAGTCCCAGGACGGCCAAATCGACGACAACCACAACCAAAGTGTTGATGTCGAGGTCGGTGCTCTCCCCCCAGGGGCCCCTCCCGAAAAATCCACTCCGTTGTGGTTGTGTTTTTTTTGTTCTGCCCAGATCCACGGCCCGGTTGTGAGAAAATCCTGATCGCGGGCAGGCGGCGTCACTAGTCAGAATGGCGGCCAGAACCCTTCTCCTTGCGCGTCCCTTTAGTGCCGCTCTTGCCTACACCTTTGCTTGGGTGCTGCCCACGTTCGCTACGAGACTTCTGCACAACTTGCGAGAGCCCAGGAGGCTCGGCATGAGCGAGCCACTCCTCAAAGCCAGCGACGTACTTGACACCCACCAGGCCACCGCCGATGGCCTCCAGAATCGCGATGTCGCTGTCGGCCCAGACCTGTCCCTCACAGGGATCCGCCCCGACGTTGTCGTCGTGCTTCCTTTTCTTCAGCATGTGCTGAGCACCAAAAGCGAAAGAACTCAAGACCCTCTGGGGTAAAGCCTTGTCCGGCTTAGCCCAGATTGTATGGCCGCCTTCCTTGAAGACTCTCTTCCGGAGAGTCTGCACTGTCATGTCCCTGCCAGTTCGGCCCCCAACTTCGCAAAAATCATGCCGCTGAGCTCCCTCTTGATCTAGACTTTCTCTGGCTGTGGCACGCAGGACTCCCAGAGCCTCCTTCTTCTTCTTCAGCCAGTCGCGGCCCTCGCACAAACCACCTGCAAGCGACTGCAATCATCCAATCACTGCTATCATCTCTGTAGTGTTCGTATCGGTGTGGGTCTCTTTGGCTTTGGGTTGGGCGATCTCCGACTCAACAGCCCTGATGTTGTCTTAAACCTTGGTGTTTGCGCTGAAAAGGCGGCGTGGGGCCCCCCGCGGCCTCGACTCTGTTCCTAGAGCTTGTGAGGCGTATGCCGAAGTCCTCCATGCGAGCACCCAGCTCCGAACCGAGGGCCCCGTCCAGCAGACTCAGGCGCTTGTCGAGGATTGGCATGTGGTGTTGCGGATAGTCCCGACCTCCTGGCGCACAATCTCTGCGCTCTGCTGAAGAGCAGGTTGATGTTGGGATTGAGGTTGAAGCTGGGTCTCATGAAAGGCCTCTGGCAGCGTGCCACCAATCGCGTGGCGTTCTGGCTCAGCCGATTCCCCATCTAGCCGATTGATTCCAAGAAGCCTAAACAAGCGCCTCTGGAACACCTCTTCCCTGTTACCGTGGTCCTCGCCGATGGGTGTGCTTGGCTCACGCGTGTGTCGATAATCTCTCGCCATGATAGGCGCTAAATTGATAGCAGAAGCACTGCGAGCGAAAGGTGCAACAAAAACAGTGCGGCAAAGGGCAAGGAAGAAAAGCCAGCTGGAACCAGGCCTCAGCCTCGGCTGCTTGAGCCTTGAGCCTTGAGCCTCGAAGAGGAAAGGAGGAGAGAGAGAGAGAGAGGAGGACGGGCGGTGGACGAGCTGTGGAGGAGGATCGGCGTTGAGGAGGAGGGCGAGGAGAGAGGCAGGGACGACGACGCCGACGAGGCTGCCGGCCGAGGAGGGCGCAAAGCCCCCGCCGCCCAGCACGCCCTCGGCGGAGCCGGGCGCCAGGCGAGCGCAGCCCTCCAGCCCGCCTCCTCCGCAACGAACCACCGCCGCCGACGCCCCGGTCGCCGCCGCCGCCGTCGCCGCCGCCGCTGCCGTCGCAGTCGTCGTCCTCCTCCTCGCCTCCTCGCCTTCTTCACAGGGGAGGGGAGCCGCGGCGAGCAGCGCCGATGCAGCCAGGCAGTTTCCGCAGGCCTCCAGGCGGTAGGAAGAAATGGGCGATGTTGCCCACATCGTACTCGAAGACCACACCCCAGACATGATTTCGAGCGCCCAGAAAAAGATCGAAACAGCGTCGAAGGAGTATCGCCTCCAAGGCCCGACACGTGAAAACCCTCCAGCTTGGGTGCTTCTTTGGTGCTCGAAACTATTTCTGGTGGTCAGGGCTACTGTAGGTTGAAACATCATAAGGGGGGCACTTTGAGGGGGTTCTTACGTGCTCTTTTGTCACTGGGCACGCAGGCCGGAGCTTCGCCTGGTGCCTGGCCATGGCCGCCTCGTGGCCACCTCGTGCGAGGGTGGGCGGGGGACCCGCCCAGTGCCCAGCCGGGTCCGTGGGAGGGGGGAGGCCGGCTGCTGAACTGCGCTGTGCTGTGCCATCCAACCCCGGAGACGAAGCCAGGGCGAGGGCAAATTTGGGTGAGCACATCTCGGGGGCCTCTGAGATCCGGCGGCTCTGGGGGATGTCTGGGGCGCCGCGGCCTCCTCAGAGCGTGCCGGAACGCCCCGAGAGGAGGAGGAGGAGGAGGAGGGAGGAGTGGGCACGACCGGTGCAGAGGACACAGGAGGAGGAGGAGGAGGAGGAGGAGGAGGAGGAGGAGGAGGAGGAGGAGGAGGAGGAGGAGGAGGAGGAGAAGGCGCGCTCCCAGAACCACGGCTCTGGAAGGCTCTGGAACGGCTCTGCGCCTTCTGGACTCGTCCTGGTGCCGGCCCCGCGCCTTCTGGAAGGCCCTGGGAGGCTCTGGAGCGGATTAGCCCCAGGCGCGCTCCCAGAACCACGGCGCGGCCCACCGGCGACCGTCCAGCCCGCGCTCCCCAAAAAAACCGTGGCCCGAGCAGGCCGGGCCGCGCGGGGGCCCCGCGCGGGCGAGCCGCGCGCCGCCCCGCGCGGGAGAGCTGCGCCTCCGGGCCCTCTCGGCGGCGCTGCCCGCGCTCGTGCGCGAGCGCGCGGGCGTCCGGCAGCACGCGGGGAGGAATGGCGCCCGCACGCGCGCGCACGCGAGGGCGCACGCGCGCGCGGGTGCGAGGGCCTACCGCGTGCACCGCGCGCGGACCCAGGCCAAAGCTTCCTCGGCCGCGGCGACTGCGCACGCACGGGAGCCCTGCTGTGTCGGGACATGTTGGGGCAGGCTCGTCGCCGATCCGACGCGAAGCAGCCAATGAAGCCCCCCGACCCCCGAGAACCCTGTGGGTCCCTGGGGCCACCCGGGACAAAGGATATGCTGCCTCACCCTCGCTCGCCTCACCCTTCCCATCGCACATCCTCCCCCCATCTCTCCTCAGCCTCTCCAGGGGGGCAGAGGAGGACACTCGGCAGCAGAGGGAACTCCTCCAGCACATAGCAGCAGTACAACTCTGCAGTATCAGTCTAGCTTTCAGCGTTCCTCACTACACGTAATGGGCGTTCCACTACGCACCGTGCCATGACGTACTACTCCAGAGCCACAGGATTAACACTAAAAGTCCACAAAAAGCCTTGATCCGCACGATCGAGGGGGATGAGTAGAGACCGTGCCGAATGAGTTCGGGTCTACGGCGCGGCAGCGCGACCAGCAGCCGATGGCGGCTTTCGTAGCTGCCAGCATTGTGTACTGAAATGTGGGCGTGGTGGTAACGTTCCCTCGCGCATCATGCTTTGCCTTGAATGTGTGATATATGTGCAATGTCAACACCTTAACCTGATGCAGCCGTGCACATGGAAGCTTCAGCTCTGGGATCGGGTTCTGTGCCCAGTCTGAGGCGAATAATGGGAGAGGCGGGAAAGTAACCACGAGGGAAAACGAGAAGGCGAAGCAGGCGAGGACAAGAGATATACTGCCAGGTCGGGCATGTCCCCCCACAGGCGGATTTTGGAAGAAAACGAAACATGCCAACCATATCCTTAAAATGGTCAAGAGTCGTCCAGAAATCGTCCCCTTGCGTTTTCAACACTATTCTTTGAATATTCCTCCTGGACGTGCCCGACTTCAATGTAGTGGCTGAGGTCACCACGGACTGGGGGCTCGCCTCCCAAAAGACAGGGCCGAAGATCCGTAGCTGGGATCCGAGCTCACGGAGGAGGAGGAGGAGGAGGAGGAGGAGGAGGAGGAAGAGGAGGAGGGGGAGGAGGGGGAGAAGGCATCAGCCAACGACTTGAGGCGGGCACGTGCCCAAGAGGGCAGCGCTGGCGGGCCCGTGCCCGAGAGGGCAGCGTTCTCACAGGTACTCTACAGAGCGCGGCCCGTCGCTGGCTGATCTCTGCGTCAGGGAGTTGGGGGAAGGCGGGGGCGCCAGGAGTGGACCCGCCGACGGAAGGAGGGAGGGCGTGAGGTCGGGGAGCGGAGGTGGCCGGAACGGCCTGACAAGCACCCGCCGTGGGCGGGGGCGGCGGCCGTCGACCCCTGCAGCACGGAGCTCCACGGTGGCCGCGGCCAAACACTCTTGCCAGGCGTGCCGAGGGATGCTCACGAGTGGAGCATAATAATATGCTCAATCATGCTGACGCGATTCCTCCACCACTCCGGGGAGAGAGCACCTCGGAGGAAGTCCACGAGCTGGCCGCGAGCATCGGCGAGAGAGCGTACCCCGTCCAGCAGGGGTTCAGACAGGAGGAGTTTCTTGCAACTCATGACACTTACAGCAGGGCTGCGAGCCACCAAAATGAGATGATGCCTGTCTTCGTGCCTTCTGATCTTCGGGCAACGTTCTTCTCGCTCTCCCTGCAACTTCTTAGCCGCGTGCCCCTGAGACATGAGATCTCTGAGGGCTGCATGGCCTTCGTGCGTGCGGTCTACGCCGCCTCTCTCACTCACCTCGCTGCTGGTGCCCCCCCCTCCGCTCCCCCAGGCTCTCTTTGACCTCTGGGGCGCCCCCCCAGGGGTGCCCCCTCTTGGGTGGTCTCTGGGCCTCGCCACGGCCTCTCTGAGGATGGAGCCAACGACAAGGAGGGCGCACAGACCGGCATGCATGCAGATCTGTGCGGAGCGCACAAGGAGGAGGAGGAGGAGGAGGAGGAGGAGGAGGAGGAGGAGGAGGAGGAGGAGGAGGAGGAAGAGGAGGAAGAGGAGGAAGAGGAGGAGGGGGAGGAGGAGGAGTAGGAGGAGGAGGAGTAGTAGGAGGAGGAGGAGGAGTTTGAGCGGGGCGCCAGCGGAACAAGCTCGGCACAGCTCACTCGACAAGCATCCTTGCCCTCTGGGCCTTCGCCACGGGCTCGCTCCTGAGGCATCTCTGGAGGCGCAGGCGGCCCAGATCCAGCACCTCCCAGGCGTGGCGCCGCTCCACGGCGGGCGGGCGCCTGCGGCGTGGGCTGCGCTCTTGATGGGCAAATAATTCCACCACCACTACCATATATAGGACGGGGGAGAAGGGAGAATGATGAGGTCCTCCTCCTCCTCCTCCTCCTCCTCCTCCTCCTCCTCCTCCTCCTCCTCCTCCTCCCCCCCCTCCTCCTCCTCCTCCTCCTCTGCCTCCTCCTCCTCCTCCTCTCCTCCTCCTCCTCCTCTCCTCCTCCTCTCCCCCCCCTCCTCCTCCTCCTCCTCCTCCTCCTCCTCCTCTCCTCCTCCTCCTCCTCCTCCTCCTCCTCCTCCTCCTCCTCCTCCTCCTCCTCCTCCTCCTCCTCCTCCTCCTCCTCCTCCTCCTCCTCCTCCTCCTCCTCCTCCTCCCTCCTCCTCCTCCTCCTCCTCCTCCTCCTCCTCCTCCTCCTCCTCCTCCTCCTCCTCCTCCTCCTCCTCCTCCTCCTCCTCCTCCCTCCTCCTCTCCTCCTCCTCCTCCTCCTCCTCCTCCTCCTCCTACCTATGGTAGTGGTGGTGGACAATGGGCCCATCAGCTCTCCCCTCCCAGGGGAAGGAGCGCAGCTGCCTCAGGAGACGTCGCCCCCGCAGGACGCCTCGGGCGGCAGCAGACTTGCGGGCCGTCGGCCCGACCTGGGCCTGCGTTGGGCGTGCGCGGGCGGCCTGGCCGCCCCTGTGGAGCCCTCTGCAGGTTGGCAAGTTGACCCCATCCTTGGGGGAAGGAGCGGATGTGAGTGGGAGGAGGGAGACAGCAGCAGAGAAGGCCCAACGGGGAGGAGGAGGAGGAGGAGGAGGAGGAGGAGGAGGAGGAGGAGGAGGAGGAGGAGGAGGAAGAGGAGGAGCGGGAGGAGGAGGGGGGCAACAGTCGAGGGGCGCAGGGAGGCACACATGAATATGTCGCACACCCCAAGATCCCCTAAATGTTTAGGCACATGTCTGGATGTTCGTCCACCACGCCGCTTCCCATATTGTTCCCCCCCATGTTTCTTGGAATCGACGTCGGGGGGGCAACAGAGGGAGGCGACAGGGGCTGGGCGGGGGTGGTGGTCCTGACCCGAAGGAGACCAGCCCGTGCCGCCCCGCCGAGGTCTGGAGGAAGACGTCGATGAGGCTCTGGAAGTTAGGCTCCCCGAAGACGCCTGCGTGGTGGCGGCGCGAGCGGGGCCCCCATCCCGATGCCTTCTGAACAGCTCCGCTCCGTCGTGCCCCTGGGATCCTGGCGATGCGTCTGTTCCGCAACGGGCGTTTTCGCCCGGTTTCGGGAACCCGGACCCTCGCAGGTAGACCCGCCTCGAGCAGTGACGCAGACCGATGGGGTCCTGGGCTCTGGTCGTGACGTCCTGCGGGGGTGCACTCCTACGTCGGGGGAGAGACGTCGATGAGGCTGCGGACGTTGGGCTCTCCGAAGGCGCCCGAGGAGGGCGGCGCGAGCTGGGCCTCCAGCCCTTCTCGCAGAGGCCTGGAGGTGGGCGCCATCGGCAAGACAGGGCGTCGCCTCCGCCAGGGGAGGATGATCGTACATTTTGGCGTTGGTGGCGCGATGCCGGCCATCTAGGAGCTCGAATATCATCACCATCATCGAGACCGGCATCATCCTTCCACGGTGGAGGCATGCCGCTGATATTGCTGTTTGCATCAATCTCCAAGCCTCCAAGTGTCCTTCTGAGCAACTCCGCCCTGTCGTACCCCCAGAGGTGCCAGCGGGGCAGACCGGGTGTTTCGACAGAGAATTCCTCACCGCCTACGATCTGCGAGCCTGAAGCTTGCAATTCGCAACAGTTTCAGGGATGGGGCGCGGGTGGTCTTCAAAATGGGGCTGTCGCCCCAGCGCAGCGCAGATTCGCCTCACAGTTTGCAGCACCTTCAAGGCTGGAGCACAGGTGGTTAGAAACATTGGGCTTTCTTCTTGGCGCCGCGCACACCCGCCTTTTAAAATGCGAGGGGTTAGAGGATGGAGCACGGGTTCGCAAGTTCCCCTCAGAACTTCGGAACAGCTTGAAGGATGGTGAGATGGTGGTCTCCAATATGGGGCTCGCGCCTTTGCGCCCCGCACATGTTCACACATCTTTCAAGAATAGAAGACGATTATTTCCTTCATCGGTCTCTTACCTTAGCGCCGCGCATACTAGTCTTCAAAAGGATCGAATAAGGCTTTGTACACTGGAGTTGTTGCCAAAGGCTTCTTCTCTGTAAGGGCCAGCAGCTTGAACATATGCAACATATGCACGTGTGAAGAGCGGCTCCTCTGCAAAATCGAGCTCTCGTGTGAGACGCCTTCGAAGTTCATGACCAGCAATACGAACATGTGCGAGAAATGCACAGCACGGGGTCTCGCTAGACATCTCGTTGCGGCTGCAGGTGCGTCCAGCCCTTGCCAAGGACAGCCACGTCATGTGCATCCAGCTGGCTGGTAGTTGATGGCCGACGGGCCCCCTTCACCTTCCTCCTGCCCGTCAGACCCAGCTCCTCACCTTTCGTCTGGGGGCTGACACCGTGGAACTCCAAGAAAGAATGGCCGCCGAAGTGGGCCCCGTCGCTGGCCCCAAGCCCGCGACAAGAGAGTGCCCAGGCCCCGGACAAACACACGTCGAAAAATTTGACCGCCGGGCGATCGTGAACGAGCTCCGAGCTCTGCGCCGAACTCCAAGGCTCCACCTTCAAAAGCAAGCCATCGCAATGCGGTTCATGACGGGCGAGCAGAGCGCCATGGATGGACAAGACGCGAAGGGGGAACAGGGGCAGGGTGCCTGCGTGTGCGCCTCATATGTACAAGACCATTGGAAAAACACAAGCAAGCCCGCACAGAAATGCGCACCACACGCACAGCAAAACATAGAAATGAGTTATCCGCCGCCCTGAGGGGGGCGGCGGGGGGCGGGTGGGGAAGTCCCTGCGACCTCGTCAACGACCCCTGGAGACTCTCAAGATTGCCTACTGGAGGCACATGAGCCACCCTCCCATGAATTGCGAAGGTTGGCCCCGATATTCTCCGAATTGGCCCACGAGGGATTCCCGACATGGTCAAGATGGCCCCAAATAGCCTAAGACGGCCTCCACGATGGCCCTAATGCAGCCCCGAGAGGCTCCACGATGGCGGACTGCACCAGGGAGGAAAACAGACTGCGGAATCCCGCATCGAGGTTCGGGGCTACTGATGTCAATTCTATTCGTGCAGCTCCACACGGACCCAGGATGAAATCCACCTTCCTCCGACAGGGTCCAATCTAAGCCTTGATGAAGCACACCCAGAGTGCCCGAGAGGCCTTCAAGATGGCACCGAGAAGGCCCTCAGATAGCCCCGGAGGTCCCAGGCTGGCCTGCAAGGTGGCCCCAAGACAAACCAAAGACGGCCAACAAAACAGCTCCAAGGTGGCCTCTGGACGATCCCGCACGGCCTGAGGAGTCTCCGAGACTGCCCGAGACACCCCCAATCGACATCAAGAAGGCTGCAACAGGCCCCAAGGAGGCCCCAACACAACCAACGAGTGCCCCAGGAAGGTCCCCCAACCAGCCCCAACAGGGTATCCTCAGGCAGGCAGACCATGTTAATAACCCGATGGGGGCGTCCAGATCTATGCCTGTCGCCTGTTTGGAGCTTCTGAGGCATGGATCAAAGGGAAATCTCGAAGGGTAACCTCGTCTCTGAGTGACTTGCGAAAAAGGTTTCAAGCGGGAGCCCCTTCCCTACGGGGCCGCCACAGTAATCCGAGCGGGTCATCGAAACCCTGTAGCTGTCGTCACGTGTGGGTTCCTGAAATGTGGGTTTGAAATACGTCTCGAGCAGTAGCCTCGTCTGCGAATGGATTATAAGGAAATCTCAGGCGGGAGCTCCATCCCTGTGGGGCCGCCAGATCATGTTAGTAACCCGAGCGGGACATCCAGATCTTGTAACTGTCATCACTGTTGGGCTCCTGGGGCGTGGATCAAGAGGAAATCTCGAACGGGAACATCGTCTCTCAGTGGATTGTGAAGAAGTCTCAAGCGGGAGCTCCTTCCCCACGGGGACGCCAGATCATGCGAGCAATCTGGCAACTGTCATTCTTATCGACTTCTGGAGGAAGTCTCGAGCGGAAACCTCGTTTGCGAATGAAATGTGAAGAAATTCCTAGCGGGAGCCCCCTCCCTATGGGGCCGCCGAACCATGTTAGTAATCTGAACGGGTAATTATGGGGCACTGTGGATGTCCAGACGGCTTGATCTAGCGCCCCAGCGCCCCGCGGCAATTGTTTCAGTGACCTGGCCCGCGGGTTTACCCCAACAACTTCGCGATCTGGCTGTCGGGGGACGCGGCACAGCCAGCCGCTGCGGCGACGGCGCTCAGCAAAATCCGCACGCGCGCCCGTGCAAGGGGGCGGGGGAGGAGGTGCACGAGGAGAAAAGAGCCAGGAGGAAGAGGAGAAATGGGAGGAAGAGGAGGAGTATGGGTACCCTGAGAAAAAGGAAGAGGGCAGGCGGACACGAGCACGAACGAGAAGAGGGCAAATGAGTTAGGCTCTCAGTGCGTGCTCGGGCCTAGCGCCTCTCCCTCAGTGGTAAAGTGTGTGCTGCACGGCGCGATGTAGGAGGAGGAGGAGGAGGAGGAGGAGGAGGAGGAGGAGGAGGAGGGAGGAAGGCCTCTGCCAGAGCAAGGAGGAAAGGGCGAGGGGAGCCAGGAGGAGGGCCTCCGCTATCACGAGTACGACGATGATGGAGACAAAACCGCTTGGGAGTATCATCATGCGGGATCCCACCGTCGGAGTAGTTGAGTCCCTTCACATTTAAAATAAACTCCTGCATCTATGTTCGGACAAGTATGGGTCCAGCTTGGGTCCCCAAGAACGTGACAAATCGGGCCTGGCGCTCGCCCAGAATGAACGGATGCAAGACGGTCGGGATTCGGGCCCAAGGTAGGAAATGCTCGCGCTTGGGCAGTAACAAAAACCCTCCTGGGCCCTCGGGCCCTTCTTGGGCAATTTGTGTTGCTCCACATGTACGGCCGTCTCGAAGAGTTGTTGCAGCCGTTCTGGGCCTCATATGGGGCCGTCTTGTTCGACATGTGTTCAGCCCCTCTTTGGGCCAGTATCGGCTCGCCCAGCGAGACCCAGACAGGGCGGGCGGTGAACGCAAAGCATCTTGGAAAAAGACTGGCAACACCTGGACAAACTCGTGTACATACGTACGTGCACGCTGCTGCATGCAATCACACCGCATCTAGAACCCGCCATCGGTACTCGCCCTCACCTGCCGCTGCCTCGGCGGCGGCCTGGCAGCAAACAACATCTCTTAGTGGCCACATCGATACCTCCACCAGCCGCCACCGACGAGTTCATGGACGACACGGAGCGCATCGACAATCTCGACGAGGTGAAGGTACACGACGGCTCCCGCAGCGGTGCTGCGGGGCCGGGCGTTGGCGTTGGCGCGAGCGCTGCCGCCGCATCTGCGCACGCCACGGTCGCGCTCGCCCGCGCCGAGCGCATCGCCTCCTCGGCGCCGCGCAGTCGCTGCTCTTTGAGCGCCTCGCGGAGCTGGCAGCTCTCCGCCTGCAGCCGCGCCACCTCGTACCCGGGCTGCGCGGACGCTCCGCTGGCGCCCCGGTCGCGCTCCAGGCGCGCCAGCGCCAAGGGCGCGACGCGCCGCAGCATCTCCTCCAGGCGGCTGCCCCACCCCTCCGCGGCGCGCAGCTGCTCGCCGAGGGAGAGGCTGAGCTTCTCCTCCTCCCCGAGGCTGTCGCGGAGGCCCTCCATGCGGCCCAGGAGGTCGCACAGCGCACGCGCAGAGGCCTCCTCGCGCTCCGCGAGGCGCGTGTGGCTGCCAGGGGCCGGCGCCCGCTCCCAGCCGCTCTGGGCGGCCGCGCGCTCGGCGGCCTGCTGGGCCGCCAGCGCCTCGGCCTCCTCCGCCCGCGCCGCGAGCGCGTCCCGCTCCCCGCGCAGCTCCACGGCCTGCCCCTGCCAGCCCTCCGCCTTCTCCTGGGACGCACAGAGACAGACTCGTGCTATATGGCTATACGTCCTCCTTGGAGGGGCGCGTCCGAACCGATCATATCGCATCACCATCTTGTAGCAGTGTATCGTTAGGGGGCCACATGTGAACCCTACCCCTACCCCCCACCCTCCCCCTCGGAAATCGTGGGGGGTAGGGGCAGGGTTCACATGTGGCCCCCTAATCGTTTCCCGAGCGGTACGGCCAGAAAGCGCCCGCCACGATGCATATGCTACAGAATTTCTCGGTGCGGGCGTCGCCCATGAGAAAACGACGCACACATAATATTAGGAATGTTGGAGTGCCGCCGGTCTCCCGCTGCCGCTGGAGCTCCTCCTCCAGCTGCCCCTTCTGCACCTCGAGGTCCTCCGGCCGCACCGACGGGGGTAGGGCGAAGGTGGTGGCCACCCCAGAGGCCGGAGGGCTTCTTAGAAGCCCCCCCGCCTGCAGAGGAGTCCTGGCAGAAGCACCCGCGCCCTCCTCACAAGCCCCCCAGCTGCACGCCTCGCCCCACCCCCGTGGCGCGCCGCCAAGTCCTGGCGGGCCTCCTCGGCCGCCTCCCTGGCTTGCGCCAGCCCCTTGCGCAGGTCGCCCGCCTCGGCCTCCAGCCAGCGCGCGCGGCCCTGCGCCGCCTCGAGGTCCGCGGCCTCGCGCTCGACAGGCCCGCTGGAGTGCACCGGGCCCTCCCTGCCCGGACGCGGGCTCTCCTCGAGCTCGCCCTCCTCCCGCTCGCGCGCTGCCCTCCGTGCGGCCCTCGCCTCCCCCAGCTCCGCCTCCAGGGCCGCGCTCCGGGCCCGCACCAGGAGGACCGCCTCCTCCTGAGTGGTACACCGCTGGCGCACAGCTACCAGCTCCTGCTCTGTGGAGCCCGCCCGCCTATCCGCCTCTTCGGCGCGTCCCTCCGCAGACCGCAGCTGCTCCCGGAGCTCAGCCCCCTGCGCCAGGAGCGCCTCCACCCTCTGCCTCTCGTCCCGCAGCTGGGCGGAGGCGTCCAGGAACTGCCGCTCGAACTGGTCCCTGAGGCCTCGCGCGCACTCCGCGTCCACCTGGAGCTCGGCGACCTTCTGGGAGCCCTCCAGCGTCAGCTGCTCCTGGAGGCAGGCGTTCTGGCTCTCGAGCGCACGCATCTTATCGCGCAGCTTCTGGGTGAACGGCTCGACCACGCCGCCAGACTCCGCCGAGCTGGGAGCCCCCTCCTTGAGGGCGTTGAGATCCATCTGGGTCTGCAGCAGCTGCTCCTCCAGCAGGGTCTTCTCGCCCGCCAGGCGCTGCCTCTCGCTCTCGGCGCAGTCGGCACGCGCACCCGCCTCGCGCAGCCGGGTCTGGCAGTCCTTGTTGAGGAGCTCCAGGTCCATGACCCTGCCCTTGAAGGTCTCGAGCATCTGCCCGTTCTGCTTCAGCTGCGTCACCTGCATCCGAAGTGTGTCGTTCTCCCTACTCAGCTCCTCCTTCGCGTCGATGCACGCCTGGAGCTCCTGCTTCATGCCCTCTGCCTGCTTCAGATGAAGCTTGCACGTTGCCTTGTGTTCCGCCTCGCTGGACCGCGCCATCACGAGCTCGTCCTGCAACTGCTTCGCGTTTTCCACCATACAGCGGCCGTGTTCGATATCCTGCTTGAGCAGTTGAACCTGCTCCTCCTTCTCGCGCAGCTGGGCGGAGGCGTCCAGGAACTGCCGCTCGAACTGGTCCCTGAGGCCTCGCGCGCACTCCGCGTCCACCTGGAGCTCGGCGACCTTCTGGGAGCCCTCCAGCGTCAGCTGCTCCTGCAGGCAGGCGTTCTGGCTCTCGAGCGCACGCATCTTATCGCGCAGCTTCTGGGTGAACGGCTCGACCACGCCGCCAGACTCCGCCGAGCTGGGAGCCCCCTCCTTGAGGGCGTTGAGATCCATCTGGGTCTGCAGCAGCTGCTCCTCCAGCAGGGTCTTCTCGCCCGCCAGGCGCTGCCTCTCGCTCTCGGCGCAGTCGGCACGCGCACCCGCCTCGCGCAGCCGGGTCTGGCAGTCCTTGTTGAGGAGCTCCAGGTCCATGACCCTGCCCTTGAAGGTCTCGAGCATCTGCCCGTTCTGCTTCAGCTGCGTCACCTGCATCCGAAGTGTGTCGTTCTCCCTACTCAGCTCCTCCTTCGCGTCGATGCACGCCTGGAGCTCCTGCTTCATGCCCTCTGCCTGCTTCAGGTGAAGCTTGCACGTTGCCTTGTGTTCCGCCTCGCTGGACCGCGCCATCACGAGCTCGTCCTGCAACTGCTTCGCGTGTTCCACCATACAGCGGCCGTGTTCGATATCCTGCTTGAGCAGTTGAACCTGCTCCTCCTTCTCGCGCAGCTGGGCGGAGGCGTCCAGGAACTGCCGCTCGAACTGGTCCCTGAGGCCTCGCGCGCACTCCGCGTCCACCTGGAGCTCGGCGACCTTCTGGGAGCCCTCCAGCGTCAGCTGCTCCTGGAGGCAGGCGTTCTGGCTCTCGAGCGCACGCATCTTATCGCGCAGCTTCTGGGTGAACGGCTCGACCACGCCGCCAGACTCCGCCGAGCTGGGAGCCCCCTCCTTGAGGGCGTTGAGATCCATCTGGGTCTGCAGCAGCTGCTCCTCCAGCAGGGTCTTCTCGCCCGCCAGGCGCTGCCTCTCGCTCTCGGCGCAGTCGGCACGCGCACCCGCCTCGCGCAGCCGGGTCTGGCAGTCCTTGTTGAGGAGCTCCAGGTCCATGACCCTGCCCTTGAAGGTCTCGAGCATCTGCCCGTTCTGCTTCAGCTGCGTCACCTGCATCCGAAGTGTGTCGTTCTCCCTACTCAGCTCCTCCTTCGCGTCGATGCACGCCAGGAGCTCCTGCTTCATGCCTCCAACTTGCTCCAGGCGAAGGTTGCACCACTCGAGGCGCTGCTGCGTTGCCTTGTGCTCCGCCTCCCGGGACCGCGCCAGCACAAGCTCGTCCTGCAATTGCTCCGCGTTCTCCACCATGCAGCGCCCGCGCTCGATCTGCTGCTTGAGCAGTTGGACCTGGGCTTCCTTCTCGCGGAGCTGATTCTCCAACTGCCAATCAAGGTAGTAGGACTCGATCTCGCTGTCGATCGTGGCGCTGCTCATCCTGAGTGCGTTCCTGCTCTTCCTTGCCTGCCCCCCCAGCTCGCAGTTGGCCGCGCGGAGCCTCTCGTTCTCGCGCAGCAGCGCCTCGACGATCGAGCGCGAGCGAGACTCGTCCTCCTCGCCCGGCAGCGCCTGTGCGAGCCGGTTCCGGCACTCCTCGCCCTGCCCCGCCATCTCCGGCGACTGCGGGTCCGCCTGCTCGGGGCACGCCAGGGAGGCGGCCGAGGAGGGCCGCCTGCTGCAGGCCAGGGAGGCGGCCGAGGAGGGGCGCCTGCTGCGACCCGGCTGCGTGCCGCCCAGCCGCTGCTCGACCCCGGTGATGATCTCCATGAGCCTGTGCTGCGCGTCCTGCGGCATACCCTGGATGATCAGCACGTGGCGCTCCCGCGCCTGGCAGCACACGGCGTACGTCAGGACGTGCCGCCACAGCCGCACGACGTCAGCCAGCGGCTCGAGGTCGTTGCCGCCCGCGCGCACGGCCTTGGGCGTCGCTTACGGGGGGGGGGAGGGGGGGCGAGTCGATAAACGGGGGGGCGGAGAAACGTGCACCCCTAGAGCCCCTTCTGGGCCCCATGGGGGTCCTCGAGGGCCCCTGCGGCTGCGGCGCACGCACAAGAGGTGCACCTTTCTTCACTTCCCCTGGCCGATCGGCGACGATCCGGGCACCCCCAGAACGCCCTCGGCTGGGCGCAGCTGCCTGAAGCACCCCGAGGCCAGAACACCGCCGAACCAACGAAAACGCCCGAAAACCTCGAACCACGGACCCCTTCTCGACTCGCTATGTGTCGCACCCCTATTACGCAACGCCCGACAGCCCGCAAGATCATGCCCGCCGGGTCGACCTTCACGGCGTCGTGCACTGCCGCGAACGTGGCGCTCAGGCAGGCGGCGGCGACGTCGGCCGCGGGCGCCTCGGCGCCCAGGGCGAGCTCCTGCTCCTGAGTACCACACGACAGGTGGAAACTAGGGACTCAGGCGTGCGTGGGAAGGACGGAGCGACGCCGTAATGATCGGAAAGGTCAGACGTAATGGGTTACATCTAGACGTAACCCGTTTCGGCAGATCTGCGCGTCTGTCCGCGCGGCCCCGGAGGGGCAGCATGCGGAGGGGCCCTCGGTGGAGCTCCCTATGAGGCCACGAAACATGTGAGGAGTGTGCCGAACTGGGCGCGGTCACGCATGCGAGTCCTGCCACTGGGGCCTTCGGTGGGCCACCTATGGGGCCACGAAGCGTGTGAAGAATGCGACGAAATGGGCGCGGTCACGCGTGCGATTCCTGCACTGGGGCCTTCGGTGGGGCTCCCTATGGGGCTACGAGACGTGTGAGGAGTGCGCCGAAAGTCGGTGGACCAGGCATGCGGGCGCAAGCACTGGGGCCTTAGGTGGAGTTCCCTATGAGGCCGCAGAGGATATGAGGAGTGCGCCAAGATGAGCGCAGTAACGTATGCGAGTCCTGCCACTGAGGCCTTCGATGGGGTCCCCTGTGGGGCCACGAAGCGTTTGAGCGGTGCGCCGAAATGGGCGCGGTCACGCATGCGATTCCTGCCACTGGGGCCTTCGATGGGGCTCCCGATGGGGCCACGAAACGTGTGAGGGGTGCGCCGGAATGACGTGGACCAGGCAGGCGGGCGCAACAGCTGGGGCCTTAGGTGGATCTCCCTATGGGGCCACGAAGCGTGTGAGAGATGTGCAGAAACGGGGTGGAGAAGGCATGCAGTCGGAAACACTAAGGCCTAACGTGAATCTCCTTATGGGGCCACGAAACGTGTGAGAGATGTGCCGAAATAGCGTGGACCAGGCATGCAGACCTAGACAGTCTGGGTCTTGGGTGGAACTTGCGCAGGGGCCACGAAACGTGTGATAGGGTGAGCCAACATGTCGTGGACCAGGCATGCGGACCGAGATATTCTGGGTCTTGGGTGGAGCTCCCTATGGGGCCAGGAAACGTGTCATGGGGTGCGCCGAAATTGCGTGGACCAGCATGCGGACCCAGATGCATGGGCATTATGTGGGGCTCCTTATGGGGCCACGAAGCGCGTGAGGGATGCGACGACATGGCGTAGACCAGACATGCGGACCCACATTGTTTGGCCTTCGGCGGGGCTCCCTATGGGGCCACGGAACGTGCAAAGGGTGCGCCGAAATGCGTGAACTGGGCGTGCAGACTCATATTGCCCCAGGTGGAGCTCCCTGTGGGGTCACGAAAGGTGTGAGGGGTGCGACAACATGGCGTGGACCAGACATGCGGTCCCAGATTCCTTGGCCGAAAATTGAGCTCCGATGTGGCACGAACCGTGTAAAGGGTGCGCCGGCATGGCATGCGGACCCAGGTTGTTGGGCCTTTGGCGGACCTCCCTGTGTGGCCACGGAACGTGTGAGGGGCGCGCCGAAATAGCGTGGACCAGGCATGCGGACCCATAATAGTGTGGCCTTAAGTGGGGCTGCCGATGGGGCCACGAAACATGTGGGTGCACCGAAATGGTCGTGCGGAGGGCAGAGGCAGGGATGGGAGGAGGGAGGAAGGAGGGGGGAAGGGAGGAGGGGCAGCGGGAGGTGAGACGCGGGGCGCTGTCTCTTCAAAACGACGACCCAACACCACATGATAGTTAGGAAAACAAGCTTTCGGAGCTCCACGCGGATTCCCTGGATCGGCGCTGGACCCCCTTCCCTGGCGCGCTAAAGCGCGCCAGGGGTGGCGCCAAAGTCGCCGCCCAGGGGGGGGCCAAGCGCCGATCCAAGGAAACCGCGCGGACCTACGGGAATTCAGGTTTACGGTCAAGGCGGCCCCGGCGACACGCTATTGAGAGGACAACAACTGTACAGATACACCCTTCCCGCTTCGATGGAATTTGGCAATCTCATCGTCTTCCACGCACCGCGTGACTGCATGCGCGTGGCTGCTCGTTGAATCACCCACAAAGAATAAGCCAGATTCCGCGAGCCTCAGACGCACCCGGCCCCGGCGGCGAAACCCGGCCCAAGTGATTGGTGCTTGAGCCCCAGTAGATTGACACTCGCTGTTTACTGGGTGGAATGTGTGCTCCAATCTGGCGTGATTGGTGTATGCGCTTTTCGGTGCAATGCAAAAAGGTGTCCTGATGCGGCTTCGGGAAAACACCGATGTTGACCCAAAGTGCCGTGGCATCGTCGGCGGGGGCGGGGCTGGCTGGTGCCCGCGGAAACGGCTGGTCTCCCTCGAAGAGGGCCTGCGCCGTCGTCATCGGGACAACGCCAGTGCGGCTCCTAAGAAGATTGCCAGGGACGCCATCCTGCGATACCTAGCTTTGAGGCCCCCCAGCGGCCAGAAAAGGTATGAATGCATAATTGTTGAGCTCCGAGCTGCGCCATGCGAGCGGACAGCGTGTCGCCCCGCTCCGCGGAGCGGGAGGTCGTGAAATGCTCGGGACGTTGATGCCGGGGGGCCTGTAAGTGGATAGCGCGTCGCTGTCCACAAGTTCCTGCTCTTTTTGCCTCGATCCGCGTGTGTGGTCGGGCACAGGTCGCGCAAAACCTGGCAGATGAAGCCCTGGTCGGCCAGGCTGCGAGCCGTGACGCGGGGGGCTGCACCAACCGCCTCCAGCCAGCGCAGCAGCAGCTGCACCTCTCCCTCCTGCTGGGCGTCCTTCCCGTCCAGCCAGTCGAGCAGCTGCACCTCTTGGCGGGGCGGGCGTCCAGGAATGGCCCCCTCTTCGAGGGCGCGGGGCATGCGGTGAGGGCATTGGGAAAGGAAACCCTTGGGTAAGGAATCCGGGGTCTGGAAGCCAGTGGGGCGCCACTTGAGGCTTGGCCATGGATATCAGCACCGCCCGCATGAGACAAGCAATCCTCCAGGATCTGAAGCCTCCCGGGCACACTGCTCAACGAACGCTCCCACCGTATAGAGATCTCGAGGTGCAGCACCCTTCTGAAAGCCCACATGCCTCCCAATATGGCTGGCCACTTCGACTAGAAATTAGACAGCAAACGTGAGGACAATACGCAACAACAAATGTTATCCGAGCTTGACAACGACAGCTGCTATTGGATAGAGGAGAAGACGCTTGCCACGGAACCGACAATAGTCGCCTTATCACGGATTGCGAACCTGGTCCAGCATGCACAAGGCGCGCTGTCGGTCATCCTCCACACTTCATTCCTCATCTCTTGAGGTGCCTGTCCCAGTGGCTGCGCTCAGCGGAGTGAGTGACAAGAAGGGGAAGGAGGAGGGAGCTGAAGGGAGGAAGGAGGAACTGATGAAACCACAGAAGGACCGATACCACTACTCCCCGGACCTCTCCCAAAGTGCGTCCTGACAAGATTTCGAAGCGAATCCACCCGTGGCGACGAGGGCCTCGATGGAGATCCAGAAACATGAAAATTAGCCTGGCGAAGGACCCAAGCATATGCAGTTGGGAGTACCGCAATGGTGAAGATCCTCTTCGGTGGTGCTCCCTACAGGGCCATGAAACGTGTGAGGGGTGTGCCGAAATGGACGGTGGCACTGGGGCCTTCGGTGGAGCTTCCTATGGGGCCACGAAACGTGAAGGCGCAGCCACTGGGGTCTTCGGTGGAGCTCCCTATGGGGCCACGAACCGTGTGAGTGGTGTGTGGGGGACGCATGCGGGCGCAGCCACTGGGGCCTCCCCGTATGGGGCTACGAAACGTGTAAGGGGTGTACCGAAATGGGCGTGGGCCCGCATGCGGGCGCAGCTACTGGGGCCTTCGGGGGAGCTCCCTTTGGGGCCACGAAACGTGTGAGGGGTGTGCCGAAGTTGGGTTGGGGTGGCGCATGCGGGCACAGCCACTGGGGCCTTCGGTGGAGCCCCTTATTGGGCCACGAAACGTGTGAGGGGTGTGCCGAAATTGGTGTGGGGGACTCATGCGGACGCAACCACTGGGGCCTTCGGTGGAGCTCCCAATGGGGTCACACAACGTGTGAGGGGTGTGCCGATATGAGCGTGGGGGACGCATGCGGGCGCAACCACTGGGGCCTTCGTTGGAGCTCCGTATGGGACCATGGAACGTGTGAGGGGTGTGCCGAATGGGTGTGGGGGACGCATGCGGGCGCGGCCACTGGGGCCTTCGGTGGAGCTCCTTGTGGGGCCAGGAGACGTGTGAGGGGTGTGCCGACACGGGGGGACGCATGCGGGCGCAGCTAATGGGGCCTTCGGTGGAGCCCCATATGGGGCCACGAAACGTGTGAGGGGTGTGCCGAAATGGGTGTGGTGACGAGAAGAAGGCGGAGGAGGGGGAGGAGGAAGGACGGAGGAACGCGGGGACCGTCTCGTCAAAACGAAGACACAACACCACAGGATGGTTGAGAACTAGAGAAGGGTAGCGCTATCGTCACGATATGTTTCGTAATAGCGTTTCGCTGCTAAGGGTTCTCATAGTCAGCCGTTTCGACTAAAACGTTCAGGATCCTGCTGCATGTTTGGTCCGGACGGCCACGATCCCTTGTAAGAAATACACTGAGGTGCACACGGCCGCCCTCTCACCCCTGTCCCCTGTAGCCGACATCCTGCTCCTCTCCCTACCTCTTAACCCTTGTGCTATTAAGGAGTTTTGCTGGGGTACTCTTTTCCATGTACGGCCCCAGAAATCCCGACCCCACCCCAGAGGCAAATGCTTCGTGCTAGATCACATTTTGATAGCCCCAGAGCCCGACAACGGGCCCAGGGCAGGGGGGGGGGCTCCTCCAAGCGAAGATGATCCTAGACTTTGGTGCTGGTGGTGCTCTGTCGGCCACCCAGACGCCCGAACACGACCACCACCCCCGAGATCGCGATCATCTTCCCTCGGTGGGGGCACACCGCCGATACATACTGGTGCTGGTGCCAACCTCTGGGCCTCCAGGGAGACAGCATGGCAGAATCCTGGGCCTGGCCATCGCTCGGGCGTCGCTTCCCCGTGCGTTGTCTGGTTTCGTGCGTGCTTCCGCAAGACCAGGAGAAGAAGAACGCCACAAACATAAACTTTTGGCGCTCCGCGCGGATTTCTTGGATCCGCGGCGGGCACCCCTCCCTGACACGCGGAGCGCGCCAGGGGGGGCGCCGGAGGCGCCGTTTGGTGGTCCCAGCGCGCAGCCAAGAACTCCGCGCGGAGCGCCAAAGGTTGATGTTTATGGCGTTTTCCTTCCTCGAGGGATGACTGTAAGACTCTAGTAGCCGGTCTGGATCTTCTGGCGATGGCCTCGCCGAGAAAAGTTGAACACGTCCGAACGGTGCCAAGGTTAGGTCGGGCATGTCCTCCTGCAGGCGGAGCTTGGACGACACATTTCAACAATAGACAGAACATGTTCACCAAATCAAGAAATAGTCAAAAAATCGCCCCCAGACTATCTTGTAACTATGTTTGAATACTCCTCCTGTAGAGCTTGGCGACGCGCGCAAATGGGTGAAGGGAGGGGGGAGGGCTTCTTAGAAGGAGGCTGCTTCTTAGAAGGCGCTGGCCTCACATCTATAGACAAGGCCCGCGCCATCTAAGAAGCAGGGGTGCTTCTCAGAAGCCCTCCCTCCTCCCCCCATCCCCTCTGCGCGTGGCTGGAGCGCAGGGCTTTTTGACTGCACTTTGCTCGTTGCAAGTAGCTTGAGCGGGGAGCGCAGGGAGGAGGGAGGGGGAGGAGGGGGAGGGAGGAGGGAGGAAGGAGGAGGAACGCAGGGCACCGTCTCGTCAAAACGAGGACCCAACACCACAGGATGGTTGGGAAATAGACCAGACATGTTCCAAACACACACACACACACAAAAAAAAATGATCAAAACATCGTCCCCAGGCTATCTTTTCACTATTTCTGAACATTCCTCCTGTAGAGCTTGGCGGCGCACACAAGGGGGTGGAGGGAAGGGGGAGGACTTCTTAGAAGGAGGCTGCTTCTTAGAAGGCGCTGGCCTCACATCTATAGACAAGGCTCGCGCCTTCTAAGAAGCAGGGGTGCTTCTCAGAAGCCCTCCACCCCCCACACACACACACCCTGCGCGTGGCTGAAGAGGAACAGCCCTGACTTAATGGGAGGAGGGAGGAAGGAGGAGGGAGGAGGGAGGAAGGAGGAGGAACGCGGGGCACCGTCTCGTTAAAACGAGGACCCAACACCACAGGATGGTTGGGAAATAGAAAAGACATGTTCAAACAAACCAATCAAAACATCGCCCCAGACTATCTTTCAACTATTTTCGAACACTCCTCCTGCCTGTAGAGCTGGGCGGCGCGCACAAGGGGGTGGAGGGAGGGGGGAGGGCTTCTTGGAAGGAGGCTGCTTCTTAGAAGGCAGCATAGACAAGGCCCGTGCCTTCTAAAAAGCAGGGGTGCTTCTCAGAAGCCCCCCCCCCTCCCCAGAGATCCGATGTCGTGATTTGTTCAATACGGGGTTCCCGGAAGTCTCGACCCATTCCCCCGGACCAGTTTTTCATCCCAGGTCGCCTTCTGACGGCCCCGAAGCCCAGCGAGGGCCCCTAGGGGCCGAAATCTGCGAAACACCTCCGCCCTGATGTTTCCAACGCGCTGGACCTCTGGGCCTGCGCGTGGCTGTGAGAGAGGGACGGGCCCGCCCTAGCCTGCCGAGGCGCTCTCTCGCTTGAAGCTCGCCGCCGGCGACCTCCCCCTCCGCGGCGAGCTCCGGCCCTCCAGCCGCAGCGGGCGCCAGCGAGGACTCGGCGAGAGGGCTCGGCGCGACCGCGGGCGACGCCATCGGGGCGGCGGCGCGGGCCGCCGGGGGCGGCGGCGCGGCCAGACGCCGGCGCCCCGCTGCGGCTGGCCGAGGCCTGCGAGCCCAGGCAGGATCGCGGCGTAAAAAGAAAATCAGGGCGGCAAGTTTTTCTCGTTCACTTCGGCCCCGGGGGGGGCCCTCGCCGGGCCCCGGGGCCAGCAGAAAACGACTCAGGATGAGAAGCTATAGCCCCAGGGGAGGGGTCTGGACTTCAGGGGGCGCGCCGTGCTGACAGAATCAGGACGTCGCATGTCTGGGAGCCCAGCTGCCTTGGGTCCGCGGCTCTCCCCTCTGAGGCTCGGAAGTTGTCATGTTCTTGATTTCTCACCACCACCACCATAAGTTGGAGGGGAAGGGGGCCCTCCTCCTTTCAAAGCCTTTCAAAGCCTATTGAACAGGGAAGGGGAAACACCCCAAGCCCTGCCAGGTCAGCTCCCTATCTATCCTGCTCCCTGCCCTCCCCGGCGCGCGCTGGCGTCCAAGTCGGCCAAGCGTCGCACTACCTTGGAAGAGGAGGAGGAAGAGGAAGATGAGACACCTGCGGGTCGCGGAGCCCATGGGTGCCAAGGAGGGTCGAGCTCCACCTTCCCCGAAACCCCTGGCAACAGGCCACGGCGCAACTTCCGCAGTTCGGCATTCAGATTTGGGTGACACACGGGATCCTTGAGACGAACCGCGCGACTCGAGGCGAAGGCACCGCATGCATTGCAGAAGAGAACGGGCATACCGGTTGCAGATAACGCCGTAACAAGAATCTCATGCCCGTACTCTGGTTTCTGCGCCTCCCGGAGCACATCTTGAAATGAAGCCGAGAGGGAGAAGCATCGCGTGGTGGCCAACAGCTTGGCTCCGGACCGATGGCACGCCACGCACCTCCAAGAGCTCCCGTCCCAGACCTGGGTGTGGGGCACCCTCGCAACCGCACTCTGCCCACTGGGGACCTTGGGAGCCCGCCTCCAACTTATGGTGATGGTGGGAAACAGGCCCATCAGTTCTCACGACGGGCGTTGCCGCCTGGCTGTGGGCCCCAAAGCCATGACACATGGATCGATCCGGCTCGAAACGGAAGTACGGCTTTGGTCGTGATCTCTTGCGATGCTGCATGTAGTAGGGAGCCCATAGAAAAAACGTAAGCGCCCAACTATGTGCAAGAACACGGCCCCTTGACCTGCGAGACCGGCCGCGTGATACGAACAAAGGCGCATTGCGAGCTCTCGAAACCAACGTGGACTCATGTACGTGTACGTCCTTCTTTCGCTCCTGCTTTAGCTCCCAACGTCGGATCCCAGGGTCCGTGGACGACGGCGGCCCGAAGAGGGAAGGGGGAGAGGAGGACGGGAGCAGATGGCGGCACAGCACCACGCGCCCAACACGCACCTACACGCGCGCGCACACTGTTCCCTACTCGACATCCCCTAATCATCGTCCCCTGGGTCTGGTTTTTTGAGGCGTCTTTTTCTTGGAATCGGGGGGGTCTGGTTCATTAGGGCTGTTTCGGAACCGAAGACGAGGGTCCAGAACATGAAGGCCCCCTGTTGACGAGGGGGGGCCAGAAAATCAGGTAGCCGTTGAAGGGGGGTCGGTTTTTTGGGGAGGGTGTCGATTTGTAAGGGATGTTGAGTACTCCGCAGCGCTGGATCAGCAATCCGTCGAAAGCAGGCGGGGCGTGTGCGCGCAGCAAACCCAAGCAGCACCCGCGCACACGCTCCTTCCTGATGTTTCCGAAGCCGAGCCTGGCACAGGCCGCGCACCGCGAGGCACAAAAAAGTGGCGCCGCCGCAGGACCCGGAGTGGGTCGCCAAGCATCCTCGCAGGGAGGGAAGCGATGACTGGCAAATGTTCTCCACCACCACTACCAGATGTAGGACGGAGGAGAAGTCTTCCTCCTCCTCCTCCTCCTCCTCCTCCTCCTCCTCCTGCTCCTCCTCCGCCTTCACCTCCTCCGCCTTCACCTCCTCCCTCTCCTACGTATGGTAGTGGTGCTGGCAAATGGGCCCATCGAAATAGGGCGAGGACAGACATACTCAATTCAACCAACGATGGAGCCGATACAGACGGACCCAGAGGGAACGCGAAAACGACCGAATGGTAGAAACCAGGCGCGGATGCGTGAACTGCTGGGTGGAGCTGAAGACGTAACAGAACCGGGCATGGAAACGCTCCACCGTCTGTTAGCAGCTCCGTGCGCTCCCCGTGCGAGAAAATCACCAGGCGAGCTGGACGGAGTACCGCCCGAAGAACGCGAGCCAGGCCAGTGAATCATAAAGGCCGACGTGCGCACAGCGAGCGACTCAAGACTGACAAACCTCGCGTCGTGCATCGTAAGTGTTTGACTCTAAGATGGCGCACGCACAAAAGCTAAGCAAGGCACGCGCGGTAACTTGGAACCAGCGGCCCCCAAAGGCAGCTCACCCAACACTTCGAGCTTACGATGCACATGTTTCCAACGCAAATATTGCATGTCAACAATTTCTAGAACTTAATTTGCCGCTGCCAGAGCACAACCTCTACTTCAACTGCAGGACTCCGCAGGGGGCGATATCAGGAGACCCATGCAGGTCTGGAGCCGACAGACTTTCGAATTGACAAGGCATCACTCGATAAGGCGGCCTGAGCTGGGTTCATCGAGACTGTGCTGGGCTGCATTGCACCATCAATGGCTGAGCTGAGCTGCACCTCGAACTGCACTGAAACGGGCCGAGCTCAACTGAGCCGGCCTGAGCTGCGGTGGGCGGGCCTGGACAGAAATGAGCAGGACCGAGGCGGGCAGGGGTGAGGCCTGCAGTGGACAGGGGCGGGGAAGAGCTGGAGCCAGAGGGGCGGCTTCGGCCCACCCCCCGGGCCTATGCGCTCCACGGCGTAGCGGAAGTCGCGCCTCCCGACGATGGCGCTCTGCCTCGGCCGGCCAGCCCGCCGGTCGCAGAAGCAGACCGGGCGCTCTCGCCGCGAAGCAGCTGGAGCGCGCGATGGCCCAGGCGGCCCTCCAACCTCCCTGCCTGTTCACGGAAAAAGCCCTGGAGCTCTCGACCTTCTCCCGGCGCGGGTCGCTGCACCGCACGCAGGCTCTGCCGACCCGACGAGCCGACGGACACCGCGCGCAGGCCCTGCCGACCCGCGGGCCGATGACGCGCTGGGAAATTCGCCAGCCCAACGGGCCAGAGTCGTGCTACAATCCCCGTTAAGAAGTTTAATAATGTGCCGAGTTCGCGCGCGCGCGTGGCGGCCCCTGGGGGTCCCCGGACGAAAAATACCCCGGCGAGGTCCCGGCACGTCCCAGCAAGGTCGGGTCAGAGTTGCCAGAACTCCTCGAGCCTCGAGCACCTCAATGAGGGCCAAAAGGGTGGCATGCCCCACGGTCTCAGGCCAAGAGCGTTCCAAGATGCCACGTTGGGCCCAAGACGGCCCAAGAAGCGCCCAAGACGCTCCAGGAGGGTTCCAAGAGGACTTCAAGAGGCCCCCGAAGACGCAAGCATCATTGATTTTGATTGGGTTTTCGGACGATTCTGGCGTCTTTTCGAGCTGCCGACCGCCCTGGACGGCCCAAGATGCTCCAATATCGCTCCGAGACGGCCCAGCATGCTCGGCCCACGAACCCGGATAGGAACATGGAAATGTGAGGCATGGCAACATTTTCAAGGCGCCTGAGTGTATCGATCTTGATGTACCGTGCCAAGAGCTGTGCTGTGTTGCGCCGTGCTGAATTGCGATGTGCCATGCCGCGATTGTGCTCTATAGCGTTGTGGATCGAGTCCTCCTTTGCATCCGAGTCCTGACCGAACTGATCTGGATCGTAAGCTCGAGTTGGCCCAGAGCTAATTGAAGTGGAAACGTGCGGGACGTTCAATCAACTCGACCTCAAAATCCGACTCAGCTTCGAAAAGGCAAGGACGTGCCACAGGATGTGCCAGGGGCGCAAACTGGGATTCGCCAGGAGGCATGTCAGGGACGTATCAGGGGACGTGCCCTGGACGTGTCAGGGACCTGCCACGGGACGTGCCACGGCGCGTGCCATGGGGCGGCCAAAGAACGTCATGCCAAGGGACGTTGCAAGGGGCGCGTCACGGAACGGGCAGGGGAAACGCCTGGGGACGAGCCAGGAAACGCGACAGAGGAAGAGCCAGGGAACGTGCCACGCCGAGTGGCGTGCTAGGGGAAGTGCCTGGGGACGTCACGCCAGAACGTCGCAAGGGACGCGCCAGAGGACTCGCCAGCGCGCCAGGGGACGCCCCACGGACGGCCGGGGTTGGACTGCGATGCACTCTACTGCGAAAAGCATCTTGCTCGAGACATCCTAAACAAATCCACACGTTAGACTTCTGACTGCGCGATCTGGACACGTGAAACCAGGCGACTCGCTCGAGACGTTCTCAACACCTCCTCATGCTAGACATCTGCCTGTGCAATCTGGACGCGTGAAAACAGGCGACTCGCTCGAGAAATCCTCCCCAGATCCTCATGTTAGACATCCGCCTGGGTGACCAGGACACGTGAAGACAAGCGTTTTGCTCAACACAGCCTGAACACATCCTCATGCTAAACATCCGCCTGGGCGACCTGGACACGTTAAAACAAGCGTTTCGCTCAACACATCCTCGACACATCCTCATGCTAAACATCCGCCAGAGCGAACTGGACACGTGAAACCAAGCGGTTCGCTCGAGGCGTTCTCGACGCCTCATGCTACACATCCGCCTGGGCGACCTGAACACATGAAAGCAAGCGTCTCGGTCGAGACATCCTCAACACATCTTCATGTCAGACATCCGCCTGGGCGACCTGGGCATGTGAAACTAAGCGTTCCCCTCGAGAAGCTCTCAACACATCCTCATGCTAGACATGCGCCTGTGCGACCTGGACACGTTAAAACACGCGTCCCTCGAGAGAGACCTCCTCAACACATCCTCATGCGAGACATCCGCCTGGGCGACGAGGACGCGTGGAAACAAGCGTCTCGCTCGAGACATCCTCAACAAATCCTGGTGCTAGATCTCTGCCTGGGCAACCTGGAGGCGTGAAACTTAGCATCTCGCTCCAGACATCCTCAAGAAATAGGCATGTGAAAACACGCAGTTCACCTGAGACATCCTCTGAATTCTGGTCCCCAGGAGAGGAATGATGTATAACGCAAAGCATGCGTGGCGCTCGAGACATCCTCAACCAATTCTGCAAAACAAGCGTTTCGCTCGAGACATCCGCAACATACGAAACCACCTGGGTGCCCTGGACACGTGAAGCGACGTGGATCCAGCTCGGGCAGAACATGTTAGATACCCCCCTGTGTGGCCAAAGAAATCTAGGAAACGAGCGAATTAGTCGAGACATCCTCGAAATTTCTGCGCGCGGGACGCGGCACGCGCGAGACATCTTCGAAATTCCTGCGCGCGGGACGCTTTTCCCAGCCGACCTGGGCACGTGAAAACAAATATTTCGCCTGACGCATCCTTTGAATTCTGGCCCCCCACGAGGCCCCTACTCGAGACATCCCCCAACTCTGCAAAACCAGCGCTTCGCTCGAGACATCCTCAACAAGTTCTGAAAAACAAGCGTTTCGCTCGAGATATCCTCAAATTCTAATTCGCCGGCCCTATGCGACCTCGTTATTCATCACAAAACAAAATCGCCAGCCCTACAGCCGTCAAAACCGGGGGTAAACCAACTGAAAGAGAACCCTGGGCTTAAGCACTGTCTGAGAAAAACAACCGTTTTGCTCGAGACATCCTCAAACATGATTTCGCTGGCCCTAGACGACCTCGTTATTTATCGCAAATAATTTCGCCGGCCCTAGAGACGTCGAATCGAGGTCGAGTCGAGTCGTAAATCGAGGTCGTGGTCGAGTCGAAGGGAAGCCCCTTCCGTTTAATCCCTTACACGCTCGGGGGGGGGGTCCCAGGGCCTGGTTCCTGGGTCAGAATACGGTCCACCATCTTCCCCTTTCGGGTCATCTTCGGGCCATGTTGGCCCCCTCTCGGCAACTTAGGTCGAAGGCAATGCGCGGCGGGCCTGAAACGGCCCAAGAGCGCTCCAAGAAGGCCCCAGATGCCAACCCAAGAGGCCCTCAAGAGGACTCCCAAGAGAGGCCCAATATACAACAATCAATGATCACCCTTTTGGCTTTTGAATATGTTCGCGCGTTCGATGTGTCTGGATTCCGACCGCCCAAAACGGCCAAACAAAACCCTAAGATCGGCCCAAGATATCCCAGAAAGCCCCCAAGATGGCCCCCTAACAGCTCTACAAGACCCCAAGAGGGAATCCGACCTTACGCTTCGAGCCACGCCGCTCAAGATAGGCTTCGTGACTACCAGCAAGCCCTTAAGAGGCTCCAAAGAGGCCCCCAAGAGGCCTCCAAAAGACCCCCTGAGCCCCCAAGACGCTCCAGAGAGGCTTCGAAGAACCTCCAGGAGGCCCCCGAGAAGCCGCCCAAGAGACACCCCCCGGCAAGCCTCCAAGAGTCCACGAGCAATATCGCGACCAGCTGTTCCGAGCAGCGTCCTGCCAGAGCGGGGTGGGTGGGGGCGCGGGGTGCGGGTGCGAGAAGCCCACCCAAGAAGGGGACGCCCTGTTGTTTGTGAACACGCAGCAGCGACGCTCCCTCGCGCCCAGCTCGACCCCACTCCACACAGGGACTCGTCGCCCACCCGTGGGTCGATCGCCACCCCCAACTGACCCCGAACCGCAGATGGTGGTTGGTGTTGAATCAGCAGAGGCCTCCTAGATGGGGTCCGGGTCCGAGTAGATGAGGTCGGAGGATCGCGCCGCATCGCCGATACATCGGCAATGCATCGGCGATGCATCGGCGATGCCTCGGCGATGCACTGGCGATGCATCGTCGACGTGGGCGATGCATCGACGACGTCAATGTGAAGGAAAGTGGGCTCCACATAAGGTGAACGGAAGCTCCCGGCCTCGACCAAGATGGGATCCCACGGGAGGGCCTCGCGGGCGTCTGAGACTTTATTGGAAGGGGCGCTGCAAGGCCGAGGCGCACTGGGAATGGCAAACGTCTGGCCCATCCATATCCAGTGCGCCTCGGGTTGCTGGGGAAGGCAGCCCGAAAGTCCAAGCTGCAGTGGATATGGACACAAGTCATACCCGCAGGCCTATGCACCATCCTGAGGCCCAAGATGGCGCAAGCTCGGACCAGCGGAACAGGTGGCAGTGTATAGCTGCCTCCTGCGCAGACGTCCCATTTTTCCCACAAGTGGCCCCTGAAGCCCACGAACCCTCCACCAGGACCAGCTTCTCATCTGGAATCGTCTTGTTGACCGCTCTGGGGACCGAAGGCACGAGGCCTAGGATCGCGAAGAAGCTACGCCGTGATGACCCCAGCGCGCTCGAAGTCTCTATCGGTGGCAACTCATGGGTTGTCGGCTCTTCCGAATCGACGCTGATCGACGCTAGACGACGCTCAACGATGCTGGCCGACGCTAAATCGGCGCTATCTCATCGACTCCCAAACGCTCATCGACGCCAGTCGACGCTAAAGTCGGAATGAACGGTGTATATCAGGCTCCCATGATTTGCTACCGAAGTCTCGGGTGGGGCCAGAGGGACCAGAGGCGACGATAGGGGCGAATAGCCCAGGGGAGAGCAATACATGTATTCAGGTGCGCCCGACGACCTATGTCTTCGAAAAGGCTCCCAGGCGAATGCGCGTAATGCCCGCCTCTGGGCTATTCGCCCCCATCGTCGCCGCCGATGGGAGCCGAGCCCCCCGCAGCCGCGCCAGGATCCCGGCGTCCGGCCGCACCGACATCACCCCCGCGTTGAGCAGGAACGGCGCAGGGGCCCGGCTGTGGGCGGCGGCCCAGGCGGTGCGGCGCCGCTCGGAGAGCGGCGGCGAAGAGGCCGGGCGCCCTGACTGCCCCTCCCGGGCCCGCCTCGCTCGCTTTATGTCCTGCCTCGCTGCCTGCGTTCCCTCCTCCGCCTCCTCGTTC